AGTCCCTCAGAAAAAGAATGAAGCAGGCCGAGGTGGACGCGTTTGACTCCCTGCTGGAATTTAAGCAAGCCTACGCCGACACTCCCTGCGACTCTTCGCGGTTCAACACCCTCTGGGCCGTCTGCGATGTGATCGACGAGCTGGTGGACGGGCCCTCCCCGCAGGTGATTGTTCTTCGCGTGCTGGTGCTTGGCCTTCTGTGTGTAGTCACTACCTGTACCTTTTGTCTTCATACGCATTAACAACTATTCGTGTACATAGATAGATAGGCCTTTTTTGTTTTCATGGTCAAGTTTCGTTTGTTGTACCCCTGTAGAACCAACGTGAGTTTTGTTTTAGTTTGCGAGAACCATGCCATAGAAAATGGTACAGCGCGTTTGGCAAGCCGTGCGGTCTGCTACTCTTCGTCCCACACTTTGGTGCTGGTCGCTTTGGGTCGCCGCTGCAACAGAGTCTGTCGTGTTCTTCTTGTGCATGCCGTACCCCCTCATGCACTTTTTTCCAGCATCGCACCTTCGCTCATATCACCTAACGTGAGGCTGAACTCGTTCGCTCTGTCATACATGTTACTATTCAATGTTATTTACCAGGCTGTTTCTCCTTGCCCGCCCCCCCCCCCCAACTACTTTTCTGCTACAGCAGAGAAAGAGTGCGGGTCGCAGGAGGACCAAGCGGACGAGGTCCTCCCGCTAAGGACGACACAAGTACACAACAGTGCTTGGACACCGTAACTACATACGAATTTTCTCTGAACGCGTGTGCTTGTGGGTAGTCGGTGTTGTTCCTGTTGCTGCTTTCATCCAGGATGTGTTTGTGGGGTGATGCTTGTGTGACATGCGTAGTGTTGATGGCGATGGCTACGGCAGTTTGCCTGTGCCTAGCAACAACTGCTGCGGATTTTGCTTCGTTTGAGCCTCCCATCGTAACGCCTAGGCGTGGATTCGTGTGAGATGTCCGAGGAAAAACCGCCTGCGGTATGGGGTAGTTATTTTTGGTGGTGTCGATCTAGAGGAGCAGGGAGATTTTGGAAGTGCATGCGGACTGACCGTTGGTTGTGTAGAACAATTTGCTCAGGTTGCTCCTTGGTTGAATCTCCATGTTGTGGTCTCTTCTCGCGTCAAGAGTCACGGTGTGCTCGGAACCCGTACGTTCATTCGTGCGGAACTACGAAGCACCCGTCTTGGCGCTAGCAAGCTCTGTACAATGTGGTTGAATACACACCATAGGAGACTCTGCCACCCAGTGGGCGAGGAGCAATTGTTTTTCTGTGGGGGTGGGGGCAGAATACACGGGAATCAACTTGGTTTGATCTCCACAAAGAACGGTATTTAGTCTCTTTCTCGCGTCAAGCTCACAGCAGTGTGCTCGGAAACCGTGCGTTAGTGCGGACATACGATGCACCTGTCTTGGCGCTTGGAAGAGCTCTGTACCATGTGGTTGAAACCATGCCGTCGGTCGTGTAAAATAGCGAGGAGCACTTTGGGAGGGGGCGGTCGTGATAAAGAACAAAAGACCACGTAGTTAGTTAATGGCACGGTAGAAGTGAGTGTCGCGTTGTCTACGAAGGCATTATTAATTGTTAACGAGTGCGGGAGATACGTACATGGATGCTGTTGCGCGGTCACTGTAGGTAGGGATGAGAATCTGTGCCGTCCCACCATCGTTCTTGTGTTGAGTAATTGACCTAGGACACGTCGGTCGGTCGCGTGACGCCACACATACATACGTTTACGTTCTTTGTTGTTCAAAAACGATACTTCATTGTACTTGTAGGTTGGCATCGTGTTTGACTGTTGGTGCTGTGTGTAGCCAAGCCGAGGGATGCTACAGTAACTTTCGTTGTGTGTGGTGAAGTAGTTATTTGAAAGAAAAGTTTACTCGTCCAACAGACAGAACAGAATGGCGTTTGTTGGTGGAACATTTTTCGAATTGTAGCCTCATCATTATAGTTGTTCGGAAACCTGGGGTCACGAGGGGAAGAAATTCGAACCCCCGTCCCTGTCATTCCTTTAAGAAGAGAGCACGAAGTGGTATAGCATACCGAGTAACGAGCGGAAGCTGCAGAGCGCGCGAAGAGAAGGAACGACAGCAGTGGCCGCGCAACGTAGGAAGCGGCAGTATAGCAAAAACCCCGCCCTCCCATTCCTTTTCTTTCGGAGGTGGGGGAATAAGCTCGGGAGTAATCGGTTTCTAGTTGGGGTGTTGTAGAATGGTGTGTACCATTGGGGCTTGGTCAGTTTCGGGACTCGTGCGTTTGCAGTCGCAGTCACCCGGCTGGTATTATTTGCGGGGAGTGAGGCAGGTTTGAAAGAGTCAACGCCGCGCCTCGTAGTTACTGTGGCTGGTGAGACGAGGGGCGTTCCGTGTGTCTCACTCCCCAACGTGTCTCCTAGAAAACGAAGAAATAATGAAGCAATTCGAAAGAAAACAACAATAAACACACACATTTCGTCGACCTGAGAAAACCACCTGGACAATGGATGGGATTTTGTGCGCCCTTCTCTGGTTGGTCCGAAAGCCTACTGTAGATTTTTCGAAGGCCGTGGCGTGCGCCGACCGTGTCGCATGCAGTGCTTCGCTTCGAAACCAACGCAAGAAGCATGCTGACGAAAATCTCACTCAAAGGCGGCAAGCGTGATGCTAGTTGGTGAGTCGAAAAAAGGGCAGCTACAGCAGTACATCTCACCATCCGCTACGTTCGATGAGCGTGCTTTCATAATGCAGCAGCGCGGAACGAGAGCGTTAAAACCACAACCTTGCAGGCATTGAAGGACGGACGGACGGGCGCGAGTTTATGTAGGCGTTCGATTCTCGACGTTGTGGCGCAAGCCCACCGGCCAGCACCCACAAACAAGCAGCACATTTCGCAGAGTGCAGCTACAGGTGTAGGTCTACATAGTCGACATCATGCAGAGACTTGGGAGTTCTTCCTTATGTTCCTTATGTATATGATGTACGCCATCACCCCACCACCAACAACAACAACACGCACATGCAAGAGAACCCCAACCGCTGCAAACCATCCTCGGTGAATAACGTGTCAGGTTTTCAAACCACCATGCTTCCAAGTCCTCACGGCATACCTTTGCTTCTTCGCCGAAAGCAGCATCACCCCCTTCCAAGCCATGGTAACCTCCCCAACCCCCTTCTCTCTCTCTTTCTCTCCCTCTCAGGCTGCTGAAATATTGTCCAAGCATGGCAGGCACGCGCGATTCTCCCACCGCTGTGACCTTAGTGGCGGCAGCTGGCGTTGGCGCCACACCCTGCCCATTTGGCACCCAAACCCATGAAGTCAAACTCCATCGGCAAGCGTAAATGACCCGCCGTCGCCTCCTGCCGAAACACGACCACAGCTTGCCAACGGCTCTACTACCGCCTTCCGCCGCAAACAGAGGACGCGTCTGATTTTGAGGACGCGTCTGATTTTGGGCGGACCAGTGCACTCAACCCAGTCGGCCATCACGTTTTGTGTTCACGAAGGCATGGGTATAATCGATTGCCCGAAGAGCGAACAAGAGGTACAGGGAATCATCATCAACGCACGCCAGCGGACAGCCAGACACCCAAGCCCAGCCAAGAGAGAGAGAGAGAGAGAGATAACCAAGCCCTTTCGCGATATGCGGTTCATCTCCTAGCGATACAACTCCATGGTGCGGATCCTGTCTCCCAACGACCCCGCGCGCTTCCTGGTGCACCGCCGAAAAAAAACTCCCCTCCCCCTCCTCCCTATTACGGACACACCCCCCTTCGTCTTCCCCTCCCTTGTCCCTTTCCTGTTTCAGCCATCTCCTTAACCCGTTGCTACTCTCCTTCTATTGTGCCAACTCGTGCATCGTTCATCCACCATTCTCTCCTCCAAAGACCCGCGCAGCAAACAAACACGCCTCTTAAGGCGTGGAACACCAGGGCTTGCTTGGCTAATTGAGTACCTCGACAATAACAATAACTAGCAATAACAGTAACACCAACAATCACGCACGCTGTCCTTCAAAGGACAGACACCTCGCAGAGGGCAGCAATCCCCCCCCCCCCACCCCGCCCCATTTCGCTTGAGAATCTGCGGCGATCTCGCCGACTCGAGGACATAGCTAAGCGTCACATCACCCCCCCCGTCATTTTGCGAGGGGGTGGGCCGGGTTGGTGACATGTTGCGACAACGACAACGAGGGGATGATACCTTCACCCCCTCATCCCACTCGCCCCAGCCCGCCCGTCGGTCCCCAAAACAATCTCAAAAACAAGACTTTACTATATGGTACGTCTTCGTTTCACCACCTGACCTGACCTGACCTGACCTGACCACGGATGGATGAAACAATCGGAAGGAGGAATACGTGGGACAAACCACAACACGCCTTGAAGACTGTGCAGGAGAAGACAATCACAATCACACACCAGCACGGTGCTATGCTATCTCCTCAAGCAACAGATGGGTTAACTCACTCAGTTCACTCTGCAGCAGCCAAGCAGACTACATACAATAGTCTGGTCCTCGTTTGGGCTTCGGGAGGGCGAAATCACAAAAAAAAAGCAAAAGCATTCGCGGGCCCAGGTTCGGAGAACGAGCGCTACTAAGGTCATATCACCTCTCGATTGTGCTAAGCGCGCCCGCCCGTGTCCAATCACGTCACGCGTCAAAGTCACTGTCGCCATCCTCTTCCTCCTCATCCCCCTCCTCCTCATCATCATCATCTTCTATCGTCGGTCTACGCGGCTTCTTCGACACGCTTCCACCGCCCCCCCCACTGCCTCGCCTCTTCTTGCCCGACGAGGACGCTTCGCCATCATCATCATCATCATCGTCGCTGCTTTCCTCCCCCTCCTCTTCCCCCGACGACGACTCGCTGCCGCTCTCCTCTTCTCCACTGCTACCGCTCTCCTCTTCCCCGCTGCTGCCGCTACCGCTCTCTTCCTCCCCGCTGCTGCTCTCCTCCTCGCCGCTGCCGCTGCTGCTAGCGCTCTCCTCTTCCCCGCTGCTGCTGCTGTTGTTGTTGTTGTCGTCATCGTCGTTCTTCGACCTTCTTCGCCTTACCCTTACCCTTCACCTCCGGATTTTTCGGCGATGCTGCAGACGCAGACGCAGCAGCAGCGGCCGGTTTCTTCGCAGCGGCAGCGGCAGCAGCAGTCTTGGGGGGTGTCTTAGCCGTGGCGGTAGCAGCAGCGGCATCGGCCTTCTTCTTGCCGCCGCCCGGGGGGCGAGGAACGTCCAACACGCTCTGTTTGGAGTTGTAGAGAGTCTCGTACGAGAAGTTCCAGTCAGGGGGCACGTTCATCGCCCACACGAACTTGTTCTGCAGAGTCTTCGCGAACACCTGTTACATCCTTTGGATTGGGAGGAAAATGGGGGGTTTTCCGACTTCCCGAACGGGGGGGGGGGGGGGGTGGCAACGGAGCGCCCTACAGCCAACGCGGGGAAACTTTTTCGCGTCTGCCGCAACTCTGAGATTCAATGCAAGGTGATGGAGGCATGTTTGAAACAAGGAAAAAGCGGTGCGCGTCAGGCACCAAACGATACGTCGTGTTAGGCGTCAAACCAGTCTCTCGTTCTCGTGTGCCTAAAACAGTGCAGCCGTGACAGGTATCTACACTATCCACACTCCCTCTTGCCGTAGCCTCCCGCAGTTGCAGGATAAGGTACATGCCATGACCACAACATTGCGTGGCCGTTCTTGCCGAGATTACTTCAGTTCGATAAGGAGCGCAATAAGAACAAAAATACAGCCACAACGGCCAAACAGAGGTCGGGAGAGTTTCCTCATTGATCACATCCAACCGAACAGATTCCAACCCGACGTCTACAGCAGGACACCCTGGGCAAGCACGGCACACCAGCATGGGGAAGGCTTGCTTACGCGAGGCGAAAACCAACCCCACTTGCCTTTTCCACAGGGACCTCGTGACGCTTGCACCATGCCACGCTCATGCGAGGGTCCATGTAGTTGATCTTGGACGTGCTCAGCGATACCTCCTTGTTGTCGTCACGATCCCGGATGTCGATCTGCGCCCCCCCCCCCAAAAAAATCGACCAAAACAAATGGAGGGAAAAATCAACACGCAACACTACCAGTACCAAGGCAGAGCAGCAATTTAATAGTACTGTACCATGTAGCGGTCTTCGCGAGTGGTTGGGAAACTGCGAGAGACATGAAACACAGGGAGAGGGAGTGTCTTGACTCAAGCTGCGACAAATATCGCCTGTGCCAAACACACTCAAGGTCGACAAGTGAAGCAGTGACACAACAAACACGACACCACACTCGACACACGTATTGAAAAAAACGTGGAATTCCACTTCGAAACATTTCTTTCAATTTTCGTGAACATGCTTCATGTCGACTCTCTTATCTCTCGCTCGAACGAGCGGAACGCTTTTAGTCAAGCTTCCAGCTCTAGTTTCGCCGTGGACTCGCCAAAAACGCCGAATGCTGGATGAAACCATGAGGAGATGACATGCACCACAGTGGAAAGAGCAACAGCAGCAGCGGCGGCCTTACCTGAAGCTTCTTGATCTTGTCGCCCCAACTTTTGATGCCCCTTCACACTCTCCGCGCTGGGGTTCTTGGCAAACAGGTGCATCGCCTCCTGCCTAGCCTGTTGCGCCGTTTTCCGTAGGGCCTTCGCAGTCTCACCAGCCTTTGTCGCCGCCACCTAGTTAGGCATCCGGTTGGGCGGTTGGGTGCACTGCTGTGTTGACGGACGGGCCTTGAAGTGAAACGTTTCTGTTTTGCCCCTTGCCCCGGGCAGCAAGTAAACTACTTGGTACCGTCCGTGTCAGCAAACAACCCGTCAACGTGTTGAACGAAACGAGGGGGGGGGGGATCCAACAGAAGCGGGCTCGCGGCGGGCGAGGGAGGGGAGGGGTAGTGCGATATTGCGGGACCCCCGGTTCAATAGCAGTACTGCAGAGAAGAGCATCTCCACCGCGGTGACTCACACAGTAGTCTACAGCAGAAATATTTGAAACACGCCCGCATGTAACGCAATCGGCAACCACCACCTGCATGTGCAAGCAGGACTTCTGCGTGCTCGAAAACTGCCTTCGAGACAGAGCAGCATGGCTGCGAAAGAAGGCATAGACCAGAAACAACAAATCATCTCACCCTTCAACAGAAGACACAGAAAGCAAACCAGAAACGCACAAAACAAGTCATCATCACCCTTCAAAATAAGGCACGGACATCAAACCAGAAACGCGTAACAGTTCGCCATCAAACCCTTCAATAACAAGAACAGAAAACGAAACCCACGAACAAGGATTCGATCGCCGTCCATCACCTTCTCTGCGTCGGTCTTCGCGTTGGCCTCGACCTTAGCCTTCTGGAGGGCCCTCACGGCACCTTCATCCTGTTGTCGTTCGACCTGAGCGGCACCGACCCCTTTCCGCTCTTGGTGGTTCTCAGCATCTGCTTCAGCTCCTGCGAAGACAAAGATTAGCACGAGAAAGGGAGAGAGGGATGGGCGAAGACGATCAACGAACGCAAGACGGCAACAGAGAGTGAAACACCTTGGTTTCAATGACGGCAACAGGACACAGGCTAGCTGGGAAGCAGACCTTGCGTTCGGCGAAACAAGGACAACGCAACCCGTACATAAAAGTGATGAGCCAACACGTGCTTACTCTCCCACACAAAACTAACAACCATTAACACAGGTCTTCCCAAAAATGGAAAAAACATACAATCTCCGTAGAAAACAAACAAACAATCATCTGTGCGTATAACAACCACACAATAATAAGCAAAGACGTAGACACAAACACACACACACACAGAGAGAGAGAGAGAGAGAGAGAGAGAGAGAGAGAGAGGGAAAGAGGGAGAGAGAGAGAGAGAGAGAGAGAGAGAGAGACCTGCTTGGTGTGCTTGTCGGCTCTGCTGAGCTTCTCTGTGAAATCCGCCCGGATATTCTCGATAAAGCCGTTGACCTCCATGGCCTTGGCTTAATGTCGCTTTTGCCCTTGAACGACGAGCTGCCAGCCAACATCACGTAATTCGTAGGTCTGTTGGGCGTAGGCCCCCTTGAAACTTGTGAGCGATTGGATTGCCTCCATTTCTGCGGTTTTGTGTGTTTGGCCTTATCAGGAATGACCTTGTACTTGTACGAGGACGCCACTCTCGCCGCCTCTTCGTTCGCTGTCATTAGCCAACTGGCCCCGCAGCTTCGTCTCGCTCTCGAAAACTCTTGAAACTTGACGTCCGCCTACATACAACGTCATGGCCGCGGGTGCCGGGCGCAAGGTCGGTGGCTCCAATCGCTGAGGGGTTTCGAGGAGTCCTTCGGCGGTAGCAGCAACGCGAACGGGGAAACCAAAAAAAGGCGTCGGGACAGATGTAACTCCGCGTTGGCCAATGAGTGGGCTGCATTTAACTTGGCGCCTACTACGCTCGACTCCCCCTACATGCCATCAACAACAGGAAAACCAATGCCAACCGAGGAACGGCAGAAAAGAGCCGCCGCCGTGTACACAGAGTCCCAAGGAAACTCGTGCAAACTGCTGCCGCTGCATGTACGTGATGGGTATGCAGTCTAGTGGTCTCGTGGTATCTCGGCAATGGCACTGCCGCTCCAATATGACTTGACACCTCAATCCGCAGCTATACAAGGGGCGTCGTAGTTGGTTTCCTCGGAGCTTGTCAGCGCCTACAATACAGAGATCTCTCTCTGGTGCAAGGTTGTGGGGACAAAGGTTCAGTGATAGACGTCCGCGCGTGGCGCAGGCGTAGGGGGGGCGCATACATCTACGATATACGGAGTACTGCTGTGGCTAACAACAGCAGGACGAAAAAAAAAATCGCAGGAAGTCAGTGAGGAGGGTTCCGGCAACATCATCATGCAGAAAATACGTAAATACACTACAGCTGCCCCCGCGTGCATTGAAGAAATGGGTAGAACGAGCTGCCGGACATCACCAGGATATGCACCTTGGTATAGAGATGATGTACGCTTATGATATGCACAAGTCTCCTGATCTTGCCAGTCGTATTTCGCCATCCGAAAGGTGCTACAATACCCAGGAGCCGCGCCGTGTGTACATGTAGCATAAGGTGTCACATTTTACCAGGTAGCAGCTTCATCTCAAGCATGAGGGGTCACCAACTACAGGTACAACAACTTCAACTTGTACGCCAACCAGCCTCACAAGCAGAGACACAGAAACCATGTGCACACCCACTTGGGAGGCTTCTATCCAGAGTAGCAGCGGTACGAAACATGTCTGCTGCACGTTGCACCCATGTCTCTCCTGTGGCGCACAACTCCTAAGTAGCCCGAAGAGGGCAACGGCAACACACCGACGCTTCTGTTACCGTCTCCTCCGGGAGAATAATGCCGCCTTGGCACGAGAAAATGAGACAAGAGGAAACGGAGATTCAGCGGCCAACATGCATACCCAGAAAGGGTCCATGCAGGGTTTTGCCATCGCCGGTCTCACCTACTTTTCGCGGCTTCCGCCTGTCGGTCGTCTTCGTACATAAGCGCGACATCTGACTGCTGTGTCTGCAATATATTACAGCAGAGACTCAGAGGGATTGCTCGCCTCACCCGATTGCCTCATCGTCAGCCCTTGTGGTGGGTGTGGTCGGGGGTGTTGGTAGCAAAGTGAAGTATTCCACCGTGGAACGGCGGAACACCTACCGTTTCGGTGTGTTTAGCGTAGACAGCAATCTCCCTTACTTTCCTCGTCGAGCCCCCAGGTATGAGTTTTAGGCAACATCGGCTACCGCCAACTCGATGTCTACACTGCTGTAAGAACATGTTCCGTCAAAGCTACAGCAGTCTACACCCACCTCTTGGACCAATTTTGAAAGCTCGACTTCTCCACGACAACGAGGATGACAAATTGAAATGCCAAGTTTTCGGAAAGCTCTTGACGAGTGGTTCCAACGGCGCCTCTTTCGGCGCCGCAAGTTCCTTTGGCGTAGAGCACTCGAGCCTTGAAAGTCGAAAGTCGGCGGCGAGACAGGTGGTCTTTCAGGAGCACTTACGGGAGCATTTTGGGAGATCTCGGAGATTAGGGAGATCTCGGAGGCAAGAAGTCAGTCAAGGAGACGTGTGACTCTCTCAGGTCACGCATTTACACAGCCGCGGTTGGAAGCCCAGAAGTAGTTGCCTGATAGGGTGGCCGATACAGGGAGAAAACACCTCTGTGTTCTGCTCAAGGGCCTCCTCTGCTACGTGGGAACAGCAGGTCTGTAAATATTGTTTCCAATTTTGAGAGGAATTCTTGTGCGCGCCTGCGGGCGAGCATCCTGGCCAGCTGACCCTGACTGCTTCTGTGTACTTCCTTGCACCCCCATTGTTTTTTTCTCTGCCAAATGCTGGGCGCTGGACCCAGCTGGAGTCTTGTGCCTCCCCAGGCATACATACTGCAGTTGACCGCAGTGACGGTAATCCCGGGGCAACAGCAGGTTTTATATGGCGTTTCTTCCCTCTTATGATTTCCGCATCCACCCCCCCCACCCGCCGCACCATTGCATGCCTGTACCTCTCCTTGTTGCACGAGGCCCTACGCCGTAAAGGTTGTGCCACCTTGTTGGTTTTCATTGAGAAGTAACTTCGAGTTGCGAGATTTGTACTCGTGAAGAAGACGTCGTCCCCGGAATCCAGGTTGCCTGCTGCTGCAACATTCAGCAGTCTGCCATATGGTGGCTGCCGCTGGTGCGGGGTAACTGCGGGCGATGTGTGGTACTCAACATCAAACCGTTGTTGTTGTTGTTCCTATGCTTGCGCTCGTGTGTTCGTGTACGTTCTCGGGTGTGTCCATCTGCACTTCCAAAGCACGCAGCAGCAACATCGCATGCGTCCAGACAGGGGCGGCACAATTTTCACTCCATCCTGCAATTATATTACCAAGCAGGTGCTTTTGCGAGGTATGTCCCCCACTACCAGCAGCAGCAGCGGCAGTGGCAGTTCTCCGAAGGGGGGGGAGGGGCTGTCAGAGGGAAGCAGTGGACAGAATGAGGCGGAGCAGAAGAGTCTCGTGCAACAGCAAAGGCAGGCGGAGGTGTTGAGCCTCCGGGAGCGGGGTGCCGAGCTGGAAGAACGCCTCCAAGCAGCTCGCACCGCCCTCACCTCGGCCCGAGAAAGGCGGGAGTTCATGGAGGAAGAGGCGGAACAGGTGCAGTTTCTCCTTTCCCTTGCTTACTCGCACCCGAGACTTGCCGTGTCCTCTTGCCACTGCTGCTGCTCTAAAAGGTTACTTTCCCCGCGCCGCGCCGTTCGGCATCTCCAGTGCGCTCGCCTGTCACCCTCCACACATGGTGCGGTGCCCCCAATCTACACCCTCCCTCTCCCCGCGCACTTGCATGCGGCGGACGAAAAACTTTCACCACAGGCGAGAGACTATGGCAACAAGCTGGCCCAAGAGATGGCCCGGCTGGGGCGGATCACCCGGACGCTTGCCCCGGACGAGAGCGCCTCCCTCGAGAAGCTCCGCCGCCTCGTGGCCACTCTGACGGAGATCGAGCGGCAGGAACAGGCCGCCCTGGAGCAAGGCAAGGCCCGTGAGGCGGCCCTCCGTGCGGAGATCGCCGAGTTTACTGGCGAGACTACTGAGGACGTTGGCGGCGGTGGTGACGGACTCGGGGAAAAGCCTGCGGCTGTTGTCTCACCGCCGCCAGATGCGGCACCGGCAACGGCGGGGGCCCCGGCGGGCGAAGGAGGGGGAGGGGCAGGAAAAGGGCAAGAGGGAGGAGGGTTCGTGCTCGAGAAGACGGTGGACGACCCGCTGGCTGCCATGGCGGAGCCACAGGAACAAGAAGAGGAGGACAAGAGCGGGGCGGGAAAGATCGTGGGAGCAGTACCAGCCGCTGGGGGGGGTGCTGTCTCTGTCCCGCGAACGGCGGTGGTGCTGGGAGGCGGAGAGAACGGCGGCGGCGGCGGCCCGGCGGAGAGGAAGGCGAATCACAGGAAGAAGCCTGCGCTGGAGGGGAAGGCGCTGTTCGCGGAGGGATTGCACCGGATCGAGGCCGCCTACGAAGTGGCGGCCGCCGAGCGAGAGGAGTCGGCCGCGCGGCTGTCGCGGTTGAGGCTGGCCGTGGCACGGCGGCAGAGGGAGGAGGACGTCGCCCTGGGCCACGCCGAGCTGCTGCAGTACCTCCTGAGGTTCGAGGAGCTCGGGCAGCACTCTCTGGAGAGACAGGAGCAGCTGAGGAGGTGCCGGGCGGAGCGGTCGACGCTGTCGCTGACGCGGGAGCTGCTGGCGACACAGGCGAGGCTGCTCGAGACGATCGCAGGCGGTGTGGAGGAGGCCTCCAAGGGCGGGAAGGGGGTCAGGGAGGCGTACCTGCGGCAGATCAAGGGGATTGTTGAGGCAAGCGGTGACGTCCGTTGGTGATTCGTGGAGTTCTTGTTCGTTTCCTCTCGCTTGCGTTGCCACCCTCTGCCGCCCGTTGCTATGAGCGTCGTTCGTTGCAAAGGCGGCTTTCGTTTCGGCATTGCGGTGGCGATGCGTCACACGCCAAGGCCGGGTATTAATGATGTTGGAAAAATCACAATCTTTGAAGTCAAAAAGTCAAATTGGATTTCTGGTTGGTCGAAGAATCGATTCCTCCATTGATTCCTGAAAATATCGGTCTCAGCACAGAAGCCCCCGAGGTGCTTTATTGTGTCCAATTCAGAATCACAGCAGTTCATGCAGAGAGGGGGGGGCTTGTTTTGTTCTAATATTTGCCGTAGGGCCGCTGTGAAGTTTTGTGCATCAAACGACCTGCTAACAACTGTTCAGATAGTGAGGCTGTCGCCACGCCACGATCAAACCGTGTTCGTTCCTTGTAGACCCAAGAGGTTTTGCTCGCCGGTGAAGCCTAAAACCATGCCGGCTCTTTCGGATCTCGGCCATAATCTCGGCGAGAACACGCCGATTGTCACAGCTGGTAACGACCGGCAGATGATCGAAGCAGGCCTGAAGCGGTGGATTGTGCTTTCTGGTGCGGGAGACGGCAATTGCAACGTTCTGCTTCCGTTCCGCGCGGTACCCTACCCTACGCCATCAAACGTTGGGCATGAAAGATAGACCAAGAGCTACACCTCACTCCGAGTAGCGTTTCCACTGCTGTTTCTTCCTCCTTCGACATGTAACAGGCGGAAAACACCAAAACCTTTGAAGAATAGCCACCGAACTTGAGCTAATTCCTCCCTGGCATTGGCTTATTTTGCGTCAATGCATTCATTTTTTTTCAAGACGCTTTTTCGACACCCCACGGCCCCCAACCTTGGCGATATTCCAACAGCCCAGCAGGAAACTGGATGCCTCCGTCTGGGTACCATTCCCAAAAACAGGCACCTCTTTAATTTGTCCGTGAAATAAATGGACCTGAAGGTACAATACTACGTATGTTTCAAAGGTGCTGCTATGTTTTTATAGTCGCTGTTTCGTCCCTGGCGCCGGTCTGGTTTGGATGCGCTCCGACCCCTACTCTCCCGTATCCGCGTGAAAACACGATTTGCCCATTTTTTGTTCTGCTTCATGTTAGAACGCCATGTTGATGTTTTGATACATTGACAGATGAATTTTGAAGTTTGTGTTTTCGAAACATGTCTAGGATTCGGCCTAAACGCACGCGTACCGGTGTGTTTTATCCCGTCAAGGACTTTGTAGAAGGTGCCGTTCTCGAACTTTGGGGGTCGGGTCCCGTTCGGGAGGGTTTAATCCGCTTGCATGTTTTCGTTGTCCAGCCGGTTGGGGCGGTCGATACTGATAACACGCACACAAAATGTCTCCTGCCTCCTCCGTAGCCTCCCATTCAGGGGGGCGAATCACAACAACCTCCAAGCGTTTTGGGTCCCGCTGAGACTGACGTCCTGTTCTTCAGTCAGCCGGTGGTCGTTGGAAAAAGCACGCACACTACTGTATCTACATGCTCCTGCGTTTACATGTACACACACACCAGCCGTGTCATTCGGGAGTGCTTAGTTGTCTAGTGCCGTCTGCGAACTCTTCTCCTGCTGCCTCCCTGTGCAGACCTACAGCAATCAATTGCAGGGCAACTCGTGCGCTGACTTCCCTCTAGTTTTTTCTGTGTATTTTTCCAACACAGGGCGTGAAATACTACATATCTTGAGGATGAGACACACCTTTTGGACGAAGTCGTGTGCTGATTTTCACTCTTACTCCCCGTCGTCGTGTTTTTTTTTTTTTTTCAAACAGAGCGTGGAAGACTCTCTGGAAGATCAAACGCGACTTTTGGACAACGTTCGTCGACGACGTCACGTCGCGGAGGAACTTCAGGCGTCGGTCAGGGAAGACAGAAAGCGCTTCTTCGCGGGCACGAAGGAGCTGTCCGACGAGTGCTACCGTTACGAGTCGTTGAACGCACACCTGGCCCTTATGCGGCGGTAACTCTTTTGGGCTTTCGGCATTTACGTACGTACGGGTTGACGGTGTTGCTTGTTTTTGGGGTTGATGTAATTTTTTTGTTCTGGGGAGTCACGAGGAGAGTCCAAGCTCGAGATTTAAGTCGCCGCACACACGCACTGCTGACGAGGGGAAAGGAAGTGAAGTTTGTGTTGCCAGCTGCTACATGCATGCGTAGCATTCAAGCGTTGTGGGGTTAGCTGAATTTATTATTCTCTTCGGCGGGTTTTCTTTGCTCCACGGCAGCGAACTGACCGTATTAGCCAGTCAATACGTGCACGGTGCAGGAGGGTGCCGGCTAATTGGTGTGACGCCATGTTTTCAAGGCGTGGGGACGCGACGGGAGGCATGTGGTCGGCCTACATGTATTGTACCGATATTTGGTCACTATAAAACATGCGGCATGACAACAGCAGCAGTGCGTTCGGCCCCAGCTGTTGGCCATCCAAGACCCCTCCAACAAAATATTCGGTTGTGTTTCACGGAATGGAAAACAAAATCGTTTTCCTCCGGACCCGCATAGAAAACAAACAGCAGTCATTTGTTGCGCACACAAACGGACGCGTACGGTGCCTGGTAGGGGGTAAGGGATGTCATCGTTTTTCGTCATGTGGGCAACGCACTCTTGTGTGCGAGTCATTGGGCGGGTGTCACGCGAGGCTCTCGCTTGCTTCATCGAGCACGTCGTTGACTCAACAGTTTGAACATTCATTCACGACGGCCAGGGTCGGGGTGGCGGCCGTCGAACTGGGTTTTCCTAGTTGGTCCCAAATATGCTCGTCGTCGTTCAAAGTTTTTTTTTTTTTCTGCCAGGTATCCGACTACTGTGCTATAAAACCCAGTGTAGATCTTTCTGTTCCGTACTTCATATTTCCACCTTCGCTCACCAGGCATACTTACATATTTTTAGCATACCATACATCGTTCCTCCCTCCAACCTCCGTTCTCCTCGCGGCCCCTCTCCCCTGCCGTCGGTACTGCCCAAAAACACTACCAGGTAAACCTGATGCACAACACACAAAACGCACAATAGCACACTCAGCCCAAAACAACAAGACACGCAGAGCAGGAGAGACCGTCAACGCTCGCCGCCCGACGCTTCCAACACAAAACGAAAATAACAAGCGAGGGTTTCCACGAGGCAACACGACCAATTCGTCACCTCAGAATAATCCTCGGGTCTAACAATCCAAAGGATCTGTGATTCCGGCGAGGTGGAAACTGGGTCCGCCACGTCAAACGACCCCTATTCGACTAACGACTGTATAGGCACGCCGTGCCCCAACCACCGACGTCGAAACCAAAGCCATAACGAGCACAAACCCCAGACGATGGCATCGCCGGCGAAGATCTAATTACCATAATTCGACCATACAAAGAAGGTTGACGGGCCTCTCTCGCCCGACCACCAGACTCAAAGACAACACCACAAGATATCAAATGGTCGGAGAAGCAACAACGACTCGTGCGCGCATCTAAATAGTTCCCCGCGAGATAGACCTTCGCGACTCACCACGGGACCCGCGGCCCTGCCCCTTTCCCCCCAAACCCTACCCGCCGCCTGGAGAAAAAATCACACACATACCACCCTTGAGCAAGTGGTCAGTTCGAAACGGAGTGGCCAAGACGGCTTCCAGCCGCTAGTAGACCAAACACACAGACGTACCATCCTATGCTAACCTTAACCATTTGCCCGCACGCCCGCGCATCCCAAAAACACATGGGAAACGAAACGTGCGATATCCCTGCCCTTTCCCGTGGCCAATGAAACACGGGGAGTCTTCACGGCAGTACCTATCCGGCCGCGTTCGGGGGCCTACACATGGAGACCTTAGTCTTGTGTGCCACGTGCTTAAAACCCTAGACTAAAAACGCTTGAATGCGTTGTAATCTCCCGGGAGAAAATGACCCCAACATCTTGCGTCGCTAAGTTGACAACGCACGCCAGGGTTTTGCCTGGCTTCTATGCACTAAGATAAGCGCAAAACGCGAAGATCCACCATCGGAGGCCGGCAGGTGGCTAAATAAACTCAAATAATGCTGGCGAGCCCACAAATGCAGCAGCACTCGCCGCGTTCTCTAGTTTTTGATGGCCTACATGTCCCTGCCTCTCCACCCCCTAACCCGCCCGACCCTTTCCCCTTGTAAACAATAAAAAACGCTGAAAACCAGTGTGTGGCTGCTCGTGTTCTTCGTTCGTCTCCTCGTCCCAACTGCCGGCGTCCCGAGCCCCCCGCCCAGCCGCATGGCAACACCAGGGGCGATTTGGCGACTGGGCCGGCCGGCCGAGTTTTCGGCCATGAGCGGCACATGTTTGTACCGACCACCGCCTTCACTCCTTCGCGACGAAAACGTGCATGTCGCCACGCTTCTTCACTCCTGGCGGCTGGGCCGGCCGAGTTGTCGGCCATGAAGGGCACACGTAGTTACCGACAGCCGTTACTCTTTCGTGACGAACACGTGCATGTCGCCGCGCTTCTCCACCCCGGCGCACTGTGTGGCCAGCCTCCAGGTCGCCTGGGGCAGCGGGGTGGGGTCGTAGAGGTAGTGCTCCGGGAAAGCCTCCTTGATGGCGTTGGTCGCCTCCAGAGCATGGTAGTGTGGGATCGTGCAGTCGACCTGAGATAATCATTCGCGTCCGTGGGACAACCGGGTCGAGGGGCACACGGAGAACAGGCCAAGTACACGCGTTGGGTGTCGGCTTGTCATTAAATTTGGAAAATCAGCGGAAACAGCGAGAGAAACTTGTGGGCGTTTTTTTCTCGAGCATGCAGAGAGTGAAATGCGCAAGCGCGGCGAGGACTTCTCCTCGTCAGTCATGGTCGGAACAAAAAATAGACCGCCGAAAGTCAAGCCCATCTCGGACGACGCAATCAAGAAGGCCGGCAATGACTACTTATAAAATGTCAACGTAGTTACGGGCGCCATGTGCGATACATCGTATTGTAGTTTATGTTTGCTAGTGCACATAAAACCACGGCAGAAAAGAGCTTCCGCAGGGCAGTGCATTTGTACCATACAGTACAAGTCTGACAACCAGGGCCAACCCCTCCACCGAGGGCATCGCCACCGGCGGCCACGGGTACAATCAGCGAGAACTCACGTGGTGTGCGACGTGCGTGGACCCGATGCGGTGGTGCAAGAAGTCCAGCACCTTGCCGTACGGGCGGTCCACGGTGTGCAGCGCGCCCTTGATGAAGTTCCAGTTGTCCGCCTCGAAGTGCGGCACGTCCACCTCCGTGTGCTGCAGCCACGTGATGAGCACCAGCCACGCGTTCACCACCATGAGCGGGCCGCCGTACAGCGCCGCCACCTGCATCGCCCCGGCCTTGGAGGCCCACGCCGCGAGACCGGCGATCATGCCCGCCACGCCCACGTCCGACAGCCAGACCTTCTTCTTCCACTTCCCCGGGTAGAGGTCGGTGCCCTTTTCCCCAGTCGAGAAGGGGGGGTGCGGGAAAAAGTGGCTCGTCATCCCTCGCGAGGGCCCGCCGGTGGCGCCGAACAAGAGGTACGCCGGCCAGCCCACCTGTCGCGGATTTTTTTTTGTCCACCACCCGAAAATCCGAAGAACGGAGAGGGGGTTCGTTCAGTGTAAGGTAAGGAGGGACGGAGGCCAGACCGAGGGTCTCCAAGATTGAGGGGGGCGGGGAGTAGCGAGGGTTGTGACGGGGAGAAAAGAAAATAGTAAACTCGAGTACCGTTTCCCGGAGTAGGGTCCGGAGTGCGCTGGCTATGACCTGCCACCGAAGTATCGTCTATGGCTACATCCTTAGTGGAACGTGGTGAAGAATGACAAGCAGGACTAGGTGAAGCTAGAGTTATGTGGAGAATAGTTGGGCGAGCCTTCGTGGACTCATTCCCCAACCTCCGTAAGACAACCATTCGCAGCTGTTGAGAATCAACGATCGTTAGAACAACAGTGATCTACAATATCAATCAGCACAGACCTAGCCGACCTACATTGCTGTTGAATGCATGTGTGTCTCTACTCATGGACACACCACATCCTGACTTCCACATTTTGTGTGTGGTATTTTCAGTTGTGGGCAAGGCACAGCATAGTTGGCCGAAAAGCCACGCAGGCACACTAAGTGCCACCCCTCGCTTAGATGGCTTAGATGCTAGTGCTGGCCAATTATTGCCTTATATAGACCAATCAAATGTGGAGGAAACACTAAGGCTGCCTCCCACTACAATCGTCTGCCGCAGCCAAACTGGAAATGTATGTCCATTCATTGCGGCTGTGGGCCGGCAAGAAAACCGCGAAACGACGCACAAAACTCCCGGCAGGCAAGGCCCGTCCATCGCGGTGGCCTCGACTCACCACAAGGTGGTTGAACGTCTGGGCTACCCCGTAGGCCGCGGTGCCGAGCTTCTTGCCCAGCACAGTTCGGAACAGCTTGCGCTGCTTCTGGAGGCCGAAGCCCTTGTGGCTGACCATCTCGGGCACGTGCGTCTCCCCCTTCTCCATGTGGTTGGTGTGGGCGTGGTGCACCGCGTGGCTGCGTTGCCACGAGAAGTACGGCACCAGCAAAGCCGACTGCGGCGGGGAGGGGCGGAGGGGGAGGAGCAAAGTTGAGAGGGTGGCCGACAACCAAGATGCCTGATGAGGTAACCGTGTTCACAAGGAGAACACCTTCGCGAGTCTCGGATGCCTAGATGTCTCAAGTTCTTTCGCGACGTGAGGAATAACGCTCGGCCACAAACTGCTTGGTAAGGGTCCTACAAATGTCGCCGCTGCCAGGGAAACAAACCGCTTCAGTGTCACCCATGCGGTACTACGTCCACTGCGATCCCGATCACCGTCGCTTTTATTCCACAGCAACTGCCGAACACAGCAGTATTGGAGCCTGTCCCGCAAAAACTTGTGTTGCCAAAGATATTGCCAAAGTTTCGATTCCTTCTTGCTATTGCTCCGCGGTTTGAAGAGGTTGAAGAGGCCCATCAACCCTCGTGAGGTGCGATAGACACGGAGGCGCCACCAGCGGTAACTTCGCAGCAGGCATCAAAACCGCGTTGCCATAATCGCGCCCGAGTCCTCATAGTCCGGACTACAGCAGTAAACACACCTTCAATTCAAAGGCGGGAATCAAAACCCAACTGCACTTTTCAGTGTCGCAACAACAAAAAAACTCCTTTGCGTGCGAGAAACCCAACAGGCCGAGTAGCGCCGCACGGATCCAGAAGCCCCTTATACCGTGCAACAGATGGATGCAACAAATCACGAGAATGATCCCTCTGCATGCTACATTTGCGCATATGTATACTACTGCTGTTCTCACGTGAAGTACGTAGCCGACGGCATCCTGCAGTTGCCTGTTAGATGAGAACGCGCCGTGCCCGCACTCGTGCGCCACCACCCACGCCCCGGTCGCAGCGGTGCCGCAAGAGACGGCATACGCGATCCAAGCCGGCAGCATGGCCAGCTGGGGAGCGAGCGCGGTACATGCAGTACGTTCACGGGGGGGCGGAAGTCGACACAGCAGGTTTTGCGGACACGTTTAGTTTGACAAATTCGATGGTGCTATGTATGAAGGCAGATCATTGGATGGACACCTCCACTACGTCCGAAGCGAACTGCTTGTGATAAAGCTTCGCGATGTACACCCAGAGGACAAAGCAATTTCATGCATACAATAAAACGACACGTGATACGATATTGTAGAACATCTTCGTGAGTCATGCCTCGCATGGTATTGCATACCATATCTATCCATGTATGTGCACATGCAGCATGTGCATACGCATACATTGAGGTGGAGTGTATTCTCGTCTGGACGTGTGCACGTGTATTGTAGTCTCGACGTACTTCTTGGAAAGTACATACATACGACAGGCAGCAGGCTACGTACTACCCTGATTTCTCAGTAACTACTGCTGTGAAACGTGGAACTGATATCCTGAACACGAGGTTTAGCATTGGCCTAGGCCGGCTGGAAGGCTCTGCTGATAGGGATCGTCCAAAACAGCGGTGTGTGCATACTGCTGTACCTTTTTTCATTTTTCAAGCCTGTGTACCCTGGAAACAGAAACGATCGTTATTCGTCGAAAAACGTACTCATAGGACACGTCATCGATGACGTCCCGCTCGATGTCGACGATTGTCTGAAAATGAAAAAAGGAAGGGAAACTCTGCTGTATATAGCCGAGTGTCCACGAGTACCTAGATCTGGTTATCTTCGCGCTTCGTGGACTTCATGAGCAGTGGGAGACTAGTGAAGTCGCCGGTTCCGTGCCTCCATAAGGAGAACAAATGCAACTGGGCCGAACATACACAGCAGGTGGTGGCGGACCGACCTCCTGCGCTCTCTCCACGCGAATCATCGCAAAACGTCTACTTCGGGCCAGAAATATTTAGCAGTCTTTTCTCTCTGTTCGTCAACACACCATTTTTTCAAACGCGCGCACACATGGTAGGTACTCTCGCGCACCTTGAGAGGAAGGAAGGCCGCAGCGAGCCCGCCCATAGACAGCGTGATGGCGCACGACAGCACGGCGTACTTCATTGATCGAACGGTATCCTTCACGAAGCAGTGCTTGGGAATAACGTCCATCACCTCCCGCTTCGTGGGGAAGGTCTTCGGCTGGAGCGCCAGCCCGTTCAGTCCACTCAGCTGCACGCCCTCCATATCAATCGTCGCCGGAGGCGCTGTCTCCACAGACACCGCCGAGGGGATGGCCACGGCCATATTCAACGTTCGTGGCCGCAGCGTCCCCTTTGCACTTGCCCTGCCCACGGCATTGCGTGGCGCGGAGACTCGGGAGAACGACGTGTGTGTCGTGAAGGCGCTCGATGTTCCGCAGGAGCACAGGGCCATGGCCCAAGCCGTGGCCGCAGCGGTTGCTTTCATGGTTTCTCGCTATGCTGGTCCTTCTTAACGGTTGTGTAGGTAGATAGCTAGCAGGGAAGGCGCCGTGTGAGAAACTTGGGAGCTGCTGCCGTGCGTGCTGTTCTCGGCGGAGTATGATATGTGTGACAGACAGAGCAAAGAGCGCGACAGGTGATTGGGTGACGAACATGAACGTCAGAGCTTGACGCGCAAAAACGCCTCCTCTTGAACACGGGTAGATCTCCTGAGCCTCCCCCCCCCCCATTTCTTTTTTTCACCAGTCCAGGCAGTATATCTTTGGGTACGCGACACAGCAGCAGCAGTATGTAGATGTTGTGAGAGAACCTGTCGGGAATTTACTGACGGGGGGAGCCATACAGACATACATATAGACAGCGGACGATCGATGATGACTGCTGCGGCGGTTCACGTCCGTATGCACAACCCAACTTGCATGTGCGTGAAGAAGATGATGTGAAGAGGATATAATATATGACTCACTCAAATGTAGTCTATACATACGCACCACAACAGAGCTAGACTACAGCTGCTGCTGTGAGTTATGCGTTATGTGCTGTAGCATTTCACAGCAGCTAAGAGGTAGTGTTCAGTCTGTCTGCCATTTTGTCTTCCACGGCAGCAAGAGTTTTCTTCCTAAATTATTGTACATACTGCTGTAGTACCGCAATGTTACTAACTAACTGGTGTATGTAGTACAGCAGTAGTCTTCTTGCATATTTTCAGTTACAGTTTATGGTGTGCGAAGTATTCCTGTTTTGAGGGGCGATGGCATTTGATAAGGAGTTGTTTATATTGTGGTTTATTTAAGGTTGTCCGTTGGTTTTGAAGAACTCTCGCTCTCTCTCCGTGCGATCCTCCTCGTTCCGTTCTGCAGCAAGAAAGAAGCGAGTCCATCACTCATTGTGATCAAGCCAACTGCGACATGTTCGTTCTTGTCCGGCGCCTCCCCATTGACGCGCTGTTTAATTAGGTGTAAGTGAAGACAACAACAACACGTTCGGGAGAGAGTGTCGCATAGATAGGCCGAGAAGAAAAACATCAGAACAAATTAGCATCATTTTTGCTCAATCAATAGTGACCCCACACACGTTCCCTTTATTAATCAGGCAGAATCTAAATTTTTTGAAAATCTAGACTATGCTAAGAGACATACGAGACTGCGACGTCGTTCGATTTCGTACTTTTGATATTTTCTACGTGTTCATCCACTGGCTGGTCAGTCATGTATTATGTCGTCATCTTATTGTTATGCTATTATCGTCTTCTAAACCGCGATATCTACGTCCCACACATGACGTGGCAACTCACAATTTGGCCCAGGCTCTTGTACCTGGGAGGAGGAAGAAGAGGACGAGCTCGCACCGCTACGTGCGCTACAACAATGCACACAACGACTCCCCCCCAATCCCTTCGTACTTACTGAACGCGGTATGGCGGTCGCAAAGTAACACATGCCACAGGGAAACCCACAAACTACACAATATTTAAAACCCCACACGCTCCCTCCCCCGCACAAAAGTTATTATTGTAGGGACAGGACAGACCCCAAACGCATCCAAGCAGAGTGAGCTAAACAAAGTCAACAGTAAACACGAACAACAACAGCAGCAGCAGGTAGTTGTTTCTGCATCAAAAATTCGGCCGTCAGTAGAACGGCCCGCAACCATGTAGCACGTACGTCGTGTTGCATCCTCTCCCATCCCGCTGCCGCCGCTGCTGCTGCATGCACTAGAAAATACAAACGTGAACAAAACGCACGCACTGCCGCCCTTTCTCACCACTTCGCCGCCAAGCGTCCAACCAATCTCTACGCTCTCGCAGGCCATGCCCCCAAAAGCCAACAGCACCCCAACAGAAACGAACACACACTTAATTAACCATACAACACATAACACGCATGCAAATGATGGTGAGATAGAAGGGCGCGCCCCGCGGTCTCTCCGTTGTTACTAGTATACAACGAAAGGGGGGAACTCGTGATACCTCAGGATTGATGCCAAGAATGTCGAGACCTGACGTGATACCGATGTGGACACAAGAAGAGCGCACGCGACCGGCTCAACGAATGCATAGTTCTGGCCTGAACAAGCAAGCGCACACAAGTTGCGGCCTCCCACTTCATACTACTGTAGTACAATCGCCACGTGGATGCCACGTGGTCGGCTGTCCTCGTTCGCCGCATTCTCTTGCACCGGCACCCCTTGGACCCACCCTGCGCCCAACCCAAACCGTCCAGAAATCGAGTCAGCACGACGTTATGCCGCAGCACACGTCGTCACCAAGCACAACAACCTGCCAACACCAGAGATACACAACACGAGCATTCGCCTCCTTGATGCTTCCTCCGCGAATACCGCACACTGCTGTCTGCTCCCAGAATTGCCGGTGTAGCCAGAGTATTCCCTTCAACGAGTTTGCGGCCAACCCACAACACTCAAGCCCCCCCCCTAGAAAGAAGAAGAGAGATTTTGGCCGCCCACGCTTGTATCAGAACGAACTTCGCGCGTAGAACCATCTATATGATGCTTCGATGCCGTACAAGGTATCGAACGGATAAAAACTTCTTGAAATATATTGCAATGACAAAAACCCAACAATCGTAATCGCTCGTGCATCGGAAGACTAGACATGGATAAACTTTCTCGTATGGTGCGTGTAAAAACTGGACCGCATAACCAACTCAACGCAGCAACATATTGTCCCCTGCATGCCATCAAATACCAATCAAATCAATCCTCTCGAGAGATCGATCACTCCCCCACCCATGGCACACAACAAAACAGCCTACGGGTTGAACAAATACCATCCATGTAAGACAACTAGCTACCCCTTTGTCGAGGACAATAAATGAGGTAGACCCCCCCCCCCCCACCCCCCCCCTCTTTTTCTTCTT